CTCCCCTTTCTTCCCGATTCCACTGGACAGAAGGCAGAAGCTAACGTGAACATCGTGCTTTAGCCCGGCCTCTGCCTCCAGAGATGCACACAGAGGGGACAGTCTCCTTCCCAAACAAGGTGACGCGTGGCGGGGTGATGAGAAAGCCAATGTGTGGCTGTGACAGCCCCGCGACACTAACACACCCCAACGTACACACCAAGGTGCCGCCCTCCGCAGGGGCTGCTCTTAACCTAGTCACCAAAGCAGCAACTAACAGGCTGGCACAGAGCTAGGCTAAAGCAGTGCGCAGGCTGCTTAGCTCAAGGATTTTAAAGCAGAACATCCTGAAGTCACTTCAGAGAGGCAGCAACTACGTCCTTCAATGGCGCCCGCGCTGCTCCTCCTCGGTGGGCCTGCTCCCTCCCCACTCCGCTTCCAAGGGTGCCATCCACAGCACTTATGGACCACCATCGAGGCCAGCGTGAAAGGTTTTTTTCCCCCAATAACTTTAAGCCTTTAGGAATTAGATGCCACAGCTGTGATAGACATGGGACTTGAGGGAGAGGGAGAGGGAGAGGGAGAAGAGAAAGCAGCAGAGGATTAGCCCACCACATACCCTAGGATAAGGTAAATTGCCCTCAGTTCACAATTCCACCAGACGCTGAGGTAAAAGTGACCATGACGGACGTGTACCTGAGTTCTGTGTAATTCTGTCGGAGCAGATGAATGCTAAGGTGTTGTCTAAGAAGAAGCTTCTAGAATAGAAAAGCACAAATGAACTTTCAAGTGAAGCAGCTTCCCCAAAATGACACACCACGGTCAAGACTGACACGGTAGGTAACAGTAAGAACAGGAAGGTCTAGAACATTACAGGTCCAGGCTCTGGATCGGTAGTGGCACTGGGGAGTCTATTTGCTGACATTGTAAAGGTCCTGAATATTACAGAAGAATCATCAGATCCAGAACAAGTCACTGACCTGAATGCAGATACAATTCCACCCCTCTCACATACTGCTTATATTCAACTTGATATTGGGGACAGCAAAGAAACCTAGAGAAGCTGAAAAGATGCATGGAAACTCTTGTTTTTTCATTTCCTATTATTTCCCTTTTCCTTATAGAAAGGCTCTTGCTAGAGCCCAGCTTATGAAAATGAGGTGATGGGCTATTCCTTTATCATAGTTTTACCCAAGCTTCCATTCACTGTCACTATCTAACACTCACCACACAGGACTTCTTAATATTATGCAATGCTATTCAATTAAGCATAACCCCGCTCAGTATTCCTGATAGTTTTAAGTTTCTCCATTTGTTTCATCACTTGTTTGGCACAACAGTATTTTTTCCAGATGAGAGAGAACCCAATGATCATAAAGAATGAATTATTTACAGCAAGATCAGCACTTCAGTTCACATCAAGACTTCACTAATTGTATTTAATTGAAAATATCACACTGAACATATGCACGGTTTTCTTTCAGGATCATAAAAGCCTTAAGTGCTACTAAATACTCCTGAAAAGGGAAAAAGCTCAGGGGACTGGTAGCAGGAAACAACACCTTCCACCTTCAAAGCAATGACTCAAATCCAGTCAAAGTTAATCAAGGCCAAAGCATATCATCTGCTAAGTGGCTGATGGGAGAACAGGTAATCCCCTTTCCCAATGAAAAAATAAAAATGATTGCATAGTCCCTCACCAAAATCAGCTTCCCAGTCACAGCTGTGCAGATCAGAATGAATTTCTTGTCTTACCTGAGTTTCGCCTCCTTGAAGTTCTCACTCCAGGCAGTCCCACCAGTTGAAGCAATACTGTTGACTTAAATTTTCATTGCACTTCTTCAAAAGTCTTTAAAAGCCTTTTTTCCCCCCCTCTCTAAACAAGCCAAGTAATGAAGTATAAGGCAAGAAGTGGGAAGGGTCTTCACCAAACTTACCTAGCAAGTAGCAGCAGAATTCAAGACCAGTTTAGGTTCAGATTCATTATCCAGAAACACTACAGGTTCACTAAACAATTAGGTAATCTAGCAGCTCATTGCTCCCAGAAAAAAAGTGAGGTTGGGAAGATGTCCTCCGCTGAGCTCTGCATCCCAATTGCATATTCTACTCCATTACACCAACTCTAGTGTTAATTGGACCTTTCAACGAGTTAATTCATTAAGGTGACAGAAAAATAAGCCACAAATAGGTGAACAAGTTTTCTGCTGGATTAGCATGTCAAATCATGTCACAGAAGTGTCCTGTGCTCACAGGAGTCTGCTCCAGGGAGAAAGTGGGACTACAGTCCCTTCCACTGCAGCAGCTATTACAGCTATGTGGATATTTTGAAAGTCACACTGCAAATTCCAAGGAGGGAGGGAAGAAGAAAAAAAACCTCTGTGTTTCAGATGCAAACTGGAAAAGTAACTCTGAGCATTCAGAATTGCAGCAGCAGATGAGGAGATATCAACTAGCTGGTCAAACATAACACCTAGTCTAGCTACTTAGCTACTTCTAAATGTCAGTTTAGTCTTACTCTTTACAGTCCCGGGTGATTAGGCAGAGTTTAATCTAAGGTTACAATGCTGAGGGCTGCCAAACCAATACCAGCTCACTTAAAA